AATTAATCAATACATTAAAGCAGAAGCAGTAATCTGTTTCAATTACTGTTTTTAATGCATAGTTTGTATTTGGTATGGAGAGACAGAACCATCCCATCACGCCACAAAGCAGGATCTACCTCACTTACCACCACATTCATAACTTATGTAAGAAATTGATCTACTGCACCATTGTTTTAATTTTTAAGATGGCAAATGCAGTTTGAAAGTGGAAATAAGCAGCTCAACCAAGCCAGGAATAGAGCCATGGAAACAAAGAAAGATGGAGAGCAGAGAATCACTGAATGCTATCAAGGTCTTTCTGGTTCTTGAGCAATAAATTATGTTGCAAACCATGGCCTGGCCTTATGGCTACTGATCATGGAAATTTCATATTCCAAAAAGAATAAAATTCTAGGAAGAATACATTAAAAAAAAAATCTCAACAGAGGATTAAAATGCCTCAAAGGATTTCTGTCTCACAACAGTTGGTCTGGAGAAAGGGTATCTGTCTAAAATGGTACTTATTGCATATGCACTTACATTTTCACAACTGCATTCAGGGATGAATATTATTCAGAAATGTTCAAGGCATGCTGTGAAACTGTAAGAATTAGGTTTTAAAAACAGTAAAAATGATCTTAAAAGACACTGCAAAGTCACTGGAGCTTAGATGTAACCAGCATCTGCTGTCTAGCTGCTCAACAGTTTGCTTGATTTCTAATGTACATGCTACAGAGCTATGATTTTTTGTACACTAGCTTAACATTTAGAAGAGCTCTACATGGAACTATATTTATTTATTCGTATACACACACATATGTAAAATAATTTTACTGCTGAAAAGCCTCATGACCCTAGATTTATGAGAGGAAGAGTTGGCAGATAACATGCATCACAGGATTGAGCCCCAGTGCATTTTAACCCCTCTGTATTCTCTAGTCCAAGTCATTAACTGCAGAAGCAAACATCCTTCCCAGCAGGTTTTCAGAACGACCAAATCTGCTTCCACTGTCTCTACCCAGGACAGCCTAGGGTGGCACTTCTGTCATTGTTTAGCAATCTAAACCTCAGCTATTTGTATGAGTTCTCTGTTCAGGGCACTCATGCAAGATTTCAAAAAAACATAGGCAGGTTTTCAAAATCCTTTTGGTAATTTCCACTCTAATGCTGGACACGGGAAGAAAATTCAGCTTCCAAAGCATCATTACAATAATCAAATAATGTACAAACTAGAAAGACATTAATGGTATATTTCTGGTATAATAAGGAACATAATTACATCCATCCACGAGATTTAAAAAAAACAAACGAACAACAAAAACCATTAAAAGTTTGATGCAGTTGCTTTTTTTTTTTCCCAAGCTCAGTTGAAAAACTCAGACTCAAGGCTGGCAGAGCTGAAGTGACACACCTGAACCATTGAGAAGCACAGCCTGACAGTACCATGTAATACAGCTCCTCAGAAAATTTATTATGGCAGATAAATGTTGGAAGGTAAGAGAAAAGCAAATCAGCTGTGCTAATCAGGGAACTCGTGTGTTTTGAGAAGAGTGAGGCAGAACAGAAGCAAGAATTTTTCCACAATACCACCTCCATGACCTCCCTTGGCAGATTATTCCACTGTCTGATGGGACCTCAGTGTTTGACCATTTTCCCTAATGACTTTACTGGTTTAGTGTCACCACTTTACATTGCCTATAGCTCATTTGAACATCTCGTATTGTTTTATTTTGAAAGTGTTTATGATATAATCATAAATATTCCCCCCTTAGTCATCTTACTGGTTGGTCAGAAAATAGAAGACTACCTGTGTAAGTATATGCATTCTTGTATGTGCATGCAAAACTCAATTTCAATTTCAGACAGCTACATATGCATTGTACACTTTTTTCCCAACACATATGTACACTCACATATCACATGCAAGAATGTCTATTTTCTGACTAGTAATCTGGCCTCTCTTTTCATAGATCTTTTCACAGAACTAGGCCCTCCTCAACACAAGATTAAAATATTTTTTTAATCCTCTCTTAATATTACAAATTGCTTTTAAATAATCAAGAGTCCTTTATTAATACTAAAAGATGCTAAAAACCATAAAACATTGCAAACACAGGCATTAGTTATGTTATTTTCATAGTTATTCCACTGCTATGGAACAGTTACAGTTGTTAATCTGAATCAACGAATCTCAATGCTACACCCACAACTGAATTTAGAGAGAAGAACTCTCTGTGAAGATTTTAAATTAGATCATATTTCATTAGTGTTCACCTTCTTTTCTCTTTTCACAAATTTTCAAAGTGAGTTCAATCCAGACTAGCTTGGCAAGTACACAAAACTACCTTTATTGCACTTGAAATTTACTGCCCTCAATTTCTTTGCCATTTCTGAAGTTGAATAATTAATAATTATATTTCATTTGTGTGATCTTTCTCTCCAGCCCAGATCTGTATCACATCTAACTTTCCAAGTAATACATCATTCAGTTTTAAGAGGACAAACAAACATTTCAAGTATGACCTTGCACAAAGATTGCTATACAACAATAAAATCCAAACAACTGTAAAATTTATACAACTTGGCACAAAATAGCTGATGGATCATAAACATGGGTCATAAATATATAAGGTATGCTCAAAGTTATCAGTAAAAGCTGATAGAACCCAGTCACTGGGGAAGACAACTCAGAGAGTGCAGACTGAGAATATGAAAATAATAAGAGATGCCTGTTACATAGAGTAGATATTATCTGAATTCACCACTATTAAAAAAAAGAGTTCAGAAAAAAATCCAAGCATATAGAGCTACTAGACTGCAGGAATCAAATCTCGTAGAATAAAGAAAGTTGGTAGACAGAATATAGAAAGAATTAGTATGAAATCTAACATTAGAGAAGTAGCCTGAAGAAAAATGACCAGAAGTGTAAATAGGGATGTATAAAATCACCCTAACAATTATTAAGGGGCAAAGAACTGTCCTAAAATTATACAAATTTCAGACTACTCTGAAATAATCTGCAATCACTACTGAAACAGAACAATTCAATTAAAATACCATGAAGAAAGTAGAAAAGAGGAAAAGGAACAAAACATCAGGAATTAACAAAATAGGATTGGCTTACAATATAATAACAATGAAATAATTACCAGAAAGAGAAAGAAACCCCACTGAGAAAGCAGAAGGCATTTATATCAGCAATGAATAAAATCACCTGATATTGAAATGCCTCCTGACTTTTAAGGACTGCCACAGTGGGAGTAGTTACAAAAATAATAAAAGCCTCATAAAAATACCTATTGTCAAAGGGACTGTGCATCTTGATCATGAAAGGAAAACAGCCAATAAACAGACTAGATGAAAGGAAACTGGAAATTAAATGCAGGCATAAAGTGAAAATAATTCTGCAATAGTTCATCATGACTTAAAAACAAAATTCTGATGAGTATTGAGCAAAGCAACAAAAATTATGGTGAGATGAGAGGCCAAATTCTTGTGAAAACAAGATAAGAGCTACACAAATGCAACTCAGCTCAACACAGACTTTGCCCAAGTGCAGCTATCTCAGAGCTGTGGAACCTGACTGGAAGGCAGCCACAGCACTAAAAAGGCTTCAAATAGGTACTAAAGGAGTTAATTTGGGGTTCACATTTCCTGCAGCAGTGCAGAGGCTTGTACATCATCTCAGGCAGCAGCTGCAAGCTTGCCACACCTCCAGAGAGGAGCTGGGCAGCAGGGTGAGGACTGGCTGCACCCCCAGGAGTGGGGCTGGCTCAGGCCAGCTCTCCCTGCATGTAGGGCATTGTAAGGTTTCCATCCTCCAATACACTGGGAAAACCTTCCTCATGTGACAACACTGTACCTTATTATTACTCCTAGAGAGGGGTTCATAAGGGCTTTCACTCAGAGTTGTCAATCCCTTTGGGCTTTTTCTGCACAGCTACAGAGAGACAGAGATTTCCCCAAGAGTGGGCCCAGAGGAGCTGCCTCAGGCTCCTGCTCCGGACAGTCAGTCCTGCTTTCACCATCTACACAAGGAACTTGGGGAAAGGCATCTCATTGGACTCAAGTAAAGGCATTACATGTAACATACAGCAATTCTTCAGAAACAGAAGGGACTTTTTCACCTCTGAATTTAATTCAGGATTTAGACTTGATTCCTAAGGTTTTTATTTTGCTCATTTGTTTTGTTTTTTGGGTGTTTTAATACCTTTGAAAACTATCTAAAGAAAGAAACAAACAAGAACTTTGACCATATTCACAGGCAAATCAAGCATTGTAATTAGGAACTTGTGAAATCAAAAGATGCAAATCACTCTCAGAGGATTTATCACAAAGCTAGCCTCTTGCACTGTGTAAGCACAGAAGTAACCACATGCATTCTGTGACATTTGGTTAATTGTAAGTGTTTTCATCCAGAGAAACACCAGAATAAAATATTTTTGCATGTCTCTCATACTTTCTGCAGGTAGGGCTGTTTTTTACAGATTTTTGTTACTTTAAAATAGAAATACTTGGTTACTATCCAGGAAAATGTTAATATATAAATGTATCTAATAATAATGTGTGTTTCTTCCCCCCAAGAAGCTGTTTTTTCAAGTTTCTTCACTTAAAATGTTATTCCTTATAAATTCTTGTCTGTGTTTTACTACAAAATCCAGTGGCCATCAGCAATGCAGAACTGTAAAGAGTTCACACAGAAAGTACAGACAGTATACATCAACTGAAATCATCTTTTCTGGCTATGGCATCTTTGAGAACACAGAATGTAATTAAAAATGTGCTTTGAACTCTCTTATGGTTTATGTGGATGAACATGAACATTTTTCTGTGCATTACATTTATTCCTGATACTTACCTTCACAGAAACAATGACAAAGTAATCTTCTCAGTGCCATTTTTATGTTACTGTTTCAGCCCTCAAAACACTGCATTGGGTAATCTCATTTCTCAGAAAAGCCAACAAGTAGAACTGCCAAACCAAGTTTTCTCTGAATGTTATACAAACTGTTACTTACAATCCGAGGTTTGAAGGGTGGTTTGATTTTCCTTTGTTCTAGAAGAACCCAGTCAATTTCCTTGAAAAATGGATGCTGCTTGATCGCATCTTCCCCGTTTTGTGATGCCACACAGCCAAGTCGCTTGTTGGGATTCTTTGTCATGAACTACAGGGTGGCGAGGGAAAGGAGGGAAAAGTTAAAATAAGAATGGCAATACCTGGAAATCATTTGCTGCTCAATTACACACTGTAATTCTTAAATTCTTAATTTTTTAGAGACAGTCCCCTTTCAGAAGGTCATTTATTCTGGCACTCCATATTTCAGAGGTTTTGGGCAAACCATAAGATTCAGAGACTCCAAACTGTAAATTTACTGCAAGAAACCCTTTCAGTTTATTGTTGAGACCTCTTAATTTCATCTGACTGGGAGTGTTAAAGGACTAGATACTCATTCAGCATATCTACTTTCAGCTTTAGCCAAAAATACTAAAGGAAAGAAAGATGATCTTAAATCCTCCAGAGACAGAGAGAGTGATCAGTACCTGCAGAAAGCTTCCCTTGAGAATAGGAAATTATGTCATGTCCTCCATGACATATCTTGCACATTATCTTTCATTTTTAGTACACGATTAGTGTCAGCGACTGAAACTAACTGGTCTCCTCCAGTGTGGTAATTTATAAACTTCTCACATTTAAACCATTACTATTCCTGTCAGAAAAAAAGCTGTACAAGTGGTGTAAGACATTGATATCAACTGATGGAAGCTCATAATACTTTACCTGATTTTTCTCTGTTATTTTTCCTTCTTTTATTAGCAATTGCTCTACTAATTTCCTAATTTGTGTGGACACAGAATCCTTGCAATTCAAGTAGCAATGAATGCTGTTCTTATAAACATAAACACATTATAGAATTAGCTCAATAGCTTTGCTATAACTTTATATTCAGCTATTATATAACATCTTTAAATTTAGAAAAACTGGACAAAGTAAACAAAATGTAATAATTGTTCAGTGGCTTTTCAACCTATGTATAACATTATACTATACTTCTGTAGGAAAAAAAAGCAAACGTAGAATAAAATAAACTATTGTAGAGCATGCCCTTGCTTTAGTACTCCAGTTACTAGACAAGTAGCTACTTAAGCCCCTAGATTGGTTTTAGATATCTAGATCAACCATTCAGAGGAGAGTAGCCTTGCTGTCATTTTAAAGGTATAACATATATCAGCAAGGCAATTCTATCTGTGGTCTCTGACATACACGCGCCGTTCTCAAGATGATCCTTCTCTTTGGTCTTGAGTTCAACTGCTCTGCAAGTTCTTTTGCAAGTAGGCAAGTCATATCTAAACTACAGGCAATCTTTTCTATGAGCAGGAGAAATTAAGTTTTTGAAAGGATTACTGTGCTTTGGTGAGGTCTCTTGAAAAACCACAAAACGCATTCCTACATTCCTCTGCTTTATTTCATCTCCAGGACTGGAGCGAGCAGGCCAGGAACTAGCAGCCACATGTATTGCAGAAACAGAACATGGAAACTACAGGATGTGCTTTTTGTACCATATAATCCAGGTATCAAAGAAGTAAAATATGATCCTAGTATCTGCCATGCTTTATCTTTGTTTTAAACTGGAGACAGGGAAAGCATCTGGACATGTAACTTTTTAAGAAGCCCAGGACATGATGGTGTGAATAGACTGTCCAGTTTAGTGCTGTACTTCACAAACTTCATGAAACTGTGAAATGGATGATGAAAGAGAATGTATTTTAAGAATGAAAACTTGAACAAAAATATCACATGCATATATGAAGAAAAAATATCAAACTTCTAAAGCAGACATTTAATTGCATTAATTTAATCCCTTTCTATTTCTGAAGCAAAAGCTGACATTTATTCCCTGTTTATCACCAGCATCAACACTGATGCAACTGTCAGGACAGACACAGCTGTTAACTGCACTCTGCTGAAGAGATGGTTGTAAATGGAGCTGACAGCCATAGCCATAAACCTTTTCATGGCTAAGACAGAAACCTCCATTTCTGAAAGAAGAAGCCTTTTAGGATCAGCATTCCTACTGACTTAAGTGATAACAGGACAAAATGCTGCTTAGGGCTTGAATCAGGGATGATTAGGCTCCCCAAATTTTGCTTCTTGAAATAAATCACACAGCTTAAAAACAGAGTTTTGCTTCTGTAGCCAGAGACTGCATCCCAGTACACAGGGAACACACACTGTAGAGACAACATCTCTCCATTGCTTGGGAAGAAGCAGAGAGCAAATTTCAATAAAGAATTGTTTTCCTTATTACACAGGAAAGAATTAAAATAGTAATTCCTGTCAATTCACAGAAACAGGACTAATAAGATGTGTGGATTTTCATAAGATAAGCAACACACTGCCTTGTAATACTGAGCTTTAATATCATCCTCAGTGTTTTGATGCAAATAACAGGAAAACTGTTTATTAAGAAAATAGGACAACATCGCCACTTAATACAAGAGAATGTCTTCTTATTAAACTTTCCTTATGTAGTGTTTGAAGGACTGTAAAAAAAAAAACCAGTTTCAAAAGAATGAAACTCATGTCTCAAAGCACAATGTGAGGAAATGAAGTGCTCCAAAATTAATCCCTTGCTACCATTCAGCAGTAAAATACATAGACGCCTCTTTCTTTCCTCTGTTTTTCCTGTTCTTCATATGGACAAGTATCAGATGAAGAACACAAGTTTCAAGCAAGTTTCATACCATACATTCGTAGGCAGCAGGTTGCTAATCCTAAGGAAATGTGTTTTATTTATGGTATAAATTGCCACAGCTCCATTAAATTGTATCAATTTATGCCTGAAAGGCTATGACAGCAGCAAGGTACAAATCACCATTCCTACTATCAAAATGTAGGAAATTCTGCAAAAAAGCCAGCTTTAAAACAAAATCCCCTGGACTCCAATTAAAATCAAATGTAGGTATGAAAACTGACAACAACCCTTCCTTTACAATGTGCCAAAATAACCTCTGAGCCCAGGATATAAGCCCAAACTCTGCAGCTCAAGTCTATATATTTTAATTGCTGAAGTAAAATAATCAAATGGTCTGGAAACAGAAATGGATGCATGAAAGTATAATGTGAGCTAACAAAAAGTAGTCAGAAAGCTATTTGGGGGAGAAGGGAGAATAAGTATTAATAAATTACTGCCAGCAGTAAAAAATCCTTCATCTTCTCACTACAGTGAATGTAGCAAAGGAGATACTTCAAACACTTCTGAGAGGTTAATTTTGAATTCTGGTTTGAATCATTGCTAGAGCATCTCGCATCTCTCTTGCTCAGTAGAAGGAGCCTGAACACATTTTCATCAAAAGGTCAATATGAGAATTTCTGCAGAATGTGCTGTCAACTGGTGTTAAAATCTCAATTTATGTTTTATACACATTTTCAAAATAAGCCTGTATGAAGATCTCTGCAGGATTTTACATTATCAGCTGCCTTCTTAATTGAAAGTCTCCCTTACTCCAGATGCTGAAAGAAAAATATATAGAAAGGCACAGCTTTTCCAGTTTCAAAGACAATGGAAAAATGGAATAAATAAAAACCAAGTTATTTTTTTAGGCCAAAAATCCTTCTCGGGTTTTTGCCAACTCTGGGGATTGACAAACTGCTTCTGTATTGTTTTGCTTTCAATTTTAGGATGATACTAGCAGAGAAAAAAGAATTTATGCCAGTGTCATTCATAGTAATGAATGACTTTATAAACTTGACTTCATAAAGGTAGTCTAAAAACCAAATTTGCCCAGTGGTACATATTGGCTGATTTTAAAAATTGTGGCATTTGATGAACACAAGTTCCTGTCAAGTCATCACTCATACTGAAAAATCCCAATGAGAACAGAAACAATCACACTAAAGTAAGACTGCTTATCATGTGAACTATAAAATAGAACATACAGCTGTAAATAAAGGGCTTTAAACTCATCTTGATGACAGGGGAAAAACAGCAAAGGCACAGGAAATTTTGTAAGCGGGTAAAATAAAAAACATTGTTTCTTTAATTATGTAGTGCTTCTCCCACTCTAGTGATGGGAGTACATAGCATATAAAATGTCAAAGTGATAGCACAGTTCTAGCTGGTTGGGTTTTCCCTGAAACATGAATCTGCAGTACACAGATTTATACAGTGTAGAACTGCGTGGAATACAAACATTCTGTTCCTTTCCCACAAGCAGTGTAATTTATCCAAGGCCCCATTATCCTAACAGCGGCACTTTGAACTGTGCTTGAACTCCCAGTGGTGACTGCTCTCAACAACTTTCAGCAAAAAAAAACCCAACAAACCAACCCCCCAAAAATCCATGAGGAGGAGGAGGAGGAAGGCAAGTAATGGAAGACTCACTGCTTTTAAAATGCTGACAGCCTCTTTACTGAGCCAGACTGGATACAATACATCATCATGAAGGATGGATTCAAAGAGATCATCTTCATTGTCAGCTTCAAAGGGGGGTTGTCCAGCCATCATTTCATACATGAGAACACCCAGAGCCCACCAGTCCACGGACGGACCGTATTCCAGCTCCTGGAGGATCTAGCACAGAAAAAGAGATTGGATTGAAGAGACAAGTGAGACAGCTGTCTCAGCTGCATATTTGCTGTTTCAACATGATATAGCCCTTCTATGCCCCAGTGCCTAAGCAGGACTGGATCACACACTGATTTCAGTAACAGCAGGCAGGGTTTCTTAGCCATGCAATTTGCACTAGCACAGCTAAGTGTCAATGAGATGTTGTTCTCAGCAGTACTGAGAGTTTATCAGTCCCCTGAGTAAATGACTATGCTTGTGAGCAAAAGAGCTGCATATCCTCCCAAGCTGTTTAAAGCAGGTCACACTATAGGGGAAAAAAGATCACATATACAAAACAGGCTGGTGGAAAATGTGAAACATTTCCTTGTCTCTATCTTGAACAAAACAAACTGAACCAGCTTCTAATGCTGCACAGAGATCATCTGAGAGATTTATTCTTGTCCTTTAGGTAGGGCTGAAGGAAGCCAAAAGCATTTTTTTTCAAGTTCCTTTTACAGCATTAAACCACTGTACAATACATGGCTGTAGAATTCACTTTAATTGCACTTGCTTTCAGGAAAAACTGGCTACAAATTCTCTTGTGGCACAAGTTCAACCTTGTAGCAAATACCTTTAGTGGCAAGTAATAGTTTAGCACGATGGAGTTTTATAGTAGCACTTGGTGTTACAAAACTACTGTTGTACCAGGAACAAGTTTAATTCTTGTCCCCTTTTCACTGGAAAGAAGCTTGAAGTTTGGCTGCATTGGTTCAGCATGACAGGGAACCAGGGAAGGGGAGTGGGCGCCTGCTTAAGGTGAAGCTGGCTGCCTTAAAATGCCTTGGAATGGCAAAAAGTCCACCAACTCCTTACACAACACTGCACAGTGCAGTGAGAAATCCTGTGGTGAACTGCTTGGGCTTAGTGCTGTAGTTGGGAATCAAGACCAATATAAAACCAAATTCAGTCTTAACACAAAAACAGAAATGAGTTTAACATTTGGATACACAGGTCTGGATCTCATCCACATTCCTCATTGAAAGAAAATTATATTTTATAGCCATCAAATACAGAAAATTAGATGTATACTTTTCATGTCTTCTGAGAACTCTTTGGAAATGAGATACTACTAAATAAAAGGAAATTAAGACATATCACCACAATGCAAGAGAAATAGAAGCAGGAGATAACTTCTGCAATTAACATGACAAATTGGAAGCCTCAGTAAAAGTTCCTGTATTCTTATTATTGCTTTATTTACAGTAATAATTTTCAAAGAATTTGTCAAAGGACTCAATTAGTATATGAAATCAGAAAAAAATCCTACATAGCCCCAGCTACCACACTGGTATTTATTTTCTTTAAATGCTGGAATACTTCTGAGACTCCATAAGACGAACATTTATGTAATGATAGTTTCAAGATGATTCACACCTTATTAGTTGTGCTACTGAAGTTGGACAGCCCTGAACACTAACAGAATGCATTTATGATTTATTGACTCTAAGGAATAATAAATAACATTTTTCCTCACTGCAAATTTATGTTTGGTGAAAGACAAATCAACAACACCTTTCCATTAAACCTGCACACTGAATATTGAAGTGGAAAGATGCACAGGTTACTAACTCAACTGAGCAAAGTCTGCCTACCAGAATGACTGTTCAGTATTGGTTCATTTTAGGCACTTTGAAATTCACCTCATAATATTAAAATCTAGGATATGTCAAAGCCACACTACTCTAAGGTATTTATTTTATCCAATGAACACCTTGAAATGTTGCCAACTAATATGATATCTAGTTTCCATCTTTCTGTGCAAGTCTATAAAGTAGCACAAGCGTAGTATCTTTCACAGATATTTTAAATAAAGGATAAAAATTATATTCCCACAAAGGCTGTAGTCAAAACGGCATCAAACATATGGCTTCTTCTGTAAGAACATGTTCTTTTAAACCTCACTAAAAATAAAAACATTTTTATAACTACTTAAGATTACTAAGATTGCAATACTCAGTTGCATCTAGCACCTTAAAGGCTGCTAAAAATCATCATAATGATGCTGATTCAGAAATGAGCAAATTGAGAAGAATAACTTTAATTTCAAGAAACAAATACTAGAAAAAACACTCCTATCATCAAGGAATAGTGCTTGTAGGCAGTAGAGTAACCATTTTCTGCAAGATTACCTAAGCACAAGTGCAGCAGAGTCTAGTCTGCATCTTAAATGTTTTCATCTACATGTAAAGAGTGTATAAAATGACACATGTAACAGTCTGATAAATAAGAATATTTGTACTCTTAGTGCACTGCAAAAAACTACCTCTGGAGCTATGTAGTCAGGTGTGCCACAAAACGTCGTGGTGGTCACTCCATTCAGAATCCCTTCTTTGCACATCCCAAAGTCAGCCAGTTTACAGTGGCCTTCTGCATCCAGAAGAATATTGTCCAGTTTCAGGTCCCTGAAATACAAAGGTCTCAAATTAAATCAACTTTCAAATTTTGATAATGTGCTTTTGTATTTCACAATAAACTATAGAATTTGACAAATAAATGGTTTCCCAAACACCACTGAGAAACTGTCCTTCACTGCCTGTGCATGAAAAGTTGGTAGCAGTCACAAAATAAATCTAGTTAAGGGCAATAAAATAAAGAAGCAGGCAATTACAAGCATTTTGTAAGACTAAGCTTTTACTCTCTTTAGCTGCATGAAAGCACAGCTTTTATGTATTCAAGGCAGCTCAGAAAAGTTTGGGAAAGATTTCAGTTTCTTGTTTCCTACAGATCTATCATTCTGTCAATGTGAAATAGGTCAATGAAGCCATTCTCTATTTTTCCCATTAGCACTAAGCAAGGATTACCAATTTATCCATACTCTAGCAGATGGGTTCAGTGAATAGGTATTTGCAAACTTGGATTACTTTGAATTTGATTCTTAATGTATAGTAGCAATTCAAAGATTGCAATGAGATGGATGAAAAACTACATTCCCATCTTTGGGAGCACTGTTTTCTGTAGCTTAAGGCTGCTCAAAAATAATTCCACAGGAATATTTTGCATTCATTGTTAAACAACATATCTTAGCAGCTATTTCTGATCATACAAATGTCTTTGTGCCAAAACCACACAATTGCCTGCTTATAAAATTGGGTTAGGTCAAAAAAAGGTTGAGAAAAGGATATCCACCTTTCCTGTCTTGCCCTCTGCATATTTTCTAAATATACCATTGATGGTTAATACATGTTCCAACACAATCGATACTAGGTACCATTCAACTTACCTGCCACTTGCCTTAGACTTAATAACAAAAGGATCTGGAAAGTCAGTGCATAAAAGAACTCTCACCTGCATGAACACCCCCTTGCCCCCTCCCCCCCCAAGTAAAACCTCTTCATCATGTAGATATAATAACATAAAACAAAGGCAAAAAAATCCCACTTATATTGCATGTGTACCAAAACAACATTTGCTTTTAAGATTTCTGTCTGGGCTTTTAGGTATCTCTGATATGTATTAAAGATACATAGTATGTTTAGATATAAAATAGATACATATATATATATATATAAAAATATATATCTATATTGTAATGTGTGTATGATTGCATAGAGAGGTGAGAATCAAAAGCAGAACACATGTCTTTAGGTGACTTTGTCGACACTTCCTGATCAGAATTCTTTTTCCTGGAATAATTACACAAATTTCCTTAGGTTAAATTGATGAAAAAAAAAAAAAATAGTGTGTGTGTAGGCAAGTTCTAAATCAGAGAAGAAGAATAAAATCCCATGCCAGCCCCTGTAAATTAATTTCACCCCAAAAGCCATGAAAAGACAAGGGTTTTTTAAAAAAAAAAATCTTTATGCCAACAAATTTGACCTGAGTGAGGGATGAAAAGACAAGGGTTTTTTAAAAAAAAAATCTTTATGCCAACAAATTTGACCTGAGTGAGGGATGAGAAGTCTTCACCTTACTCAGACAATTTCTTCCAGAGAAATGTCTCTTTGTCAGATCCCAGCCTTCAGAACCACAGACACCAAACATTTATGCACATTAATTGATTAAACAGCCCTTCCAAGGCTGCAGCATGTTAAGAGTTTTTGTAGACATGTCCAAACCTACAGTATGCTGAGATTTCCCCAGAAGTGGTCTTTTCTGCTTCTCACACCAATTTCAGTAGGTGGATTTTAGTGTGGGTTTTTTTTTTCTTTTGAAATTTGTTAAACATTTTTTAACATGTTGGCCCATATATTCCTCAAGCAGGTATACAAGCTAACATGAAAATCAGCTGCTCCTGGGCCACAGTGGACTTGCTACTCAAAGTCTGCAGAATCACTGCGCATCTGCAATGATGCATCCACAAAACAGGTTCTGGGAAGCACTGGAGAACTTACTGTGCATGTAGGGATAGGTTGTGTTACGTACACGTTACAAAGTGGTTTGTGCGTGTAGAACAAGCCTGACCAGGCACAACAAAGTCATATTTACCTCAGTAACAGTAGAACCACTGTTTCCTATATAAACCAGCTTTGTCAGATATGGTTTTATGCGGCTGAAGTATACCCTGGCTGTAGAAATGTTTATTGCAAGCAATATCCCCTACATCACACCTGGCTATCTCTGCATCAGCTATGCTGCTCTTGCAGGTTCTCAGTGGTCACCCAGGCATGGCCCCTTGGAGCAGACTGCATATTTTATCATTCTTTAAGGTCATTAATATCAGCAGTTCCTAAAAAATGCAAGATCCAGCTGGCTGCCACATAACCCCCTACGTATAACCATTTAAACCCTCAAGTAACCACCTCTTCCTACCTCTGGAAAGTGATTTGCCAGAATTGTCCAACATAATGCCAGGGCAAACAGATATAAACAGCTCTGCATCCCCCCCACAAGAAGTCAAAGACACAAAACAAAGCTACCTGTTTTAAAAGTCACGTGCCTTCCCAAAACTGTTCCTTCCATGAATTACAAGAGCTGCAATAAAAAATCTGCATTCAAACAGGACTATAGCAACATCCAAACAGAATGTGATCATCAGGGTAAGGCTCTTGCAGATCAAAGAAGGAAATAAGATTGCAGCTGTAGCTTACAACCTTCCAAGTGCAGTGTTATCTTGGATGTTCCTTAACTAAAGAAGAATACAAGCTATATTTCAAGAAGTCAAGATGTTCAGATAAAGAAATCAAAGTATAATTATATTTGATATAATCTTGGAACCTCTTACAGCCACCATCACAACAGACAGCTAAAAAGAAGGTCCTAATACATATAATTATGATAGGAACTGAAGAAATTCAAGAGGCTGCTTAGAAAAATGGATCCACTTTATTAAGTGTTTTAAGTGTTTATGAGAAGACTCCAAAATTATGTCTTAACTCTGATTGCAAGATTTCCCCGTGCAGGTAGGTGACACACTGGAGTTGTTAGGACCTAAACTCATTTAACTTTAATTTAATGCCATATGGTAGCCACGAACTTGAATGGAGATAGAGTCAATAATCCAGGAAACTCCTAAGCTAAGAGAAACCGCAACAGCAATAAAACACTAAGGAACCACATAATGGATAAAGACAAGATATTCACTATTCTCTTTATTTCTTTAAGGATTTGTATAAGACACAGAAATTAGCAATAAAAATTCAACTTGACAGTGAAAAAACAGAATAAAAAAACTGAGCCCAGAGAAAACTAGAAAGAGTCTAATTATTAAATTCTGTAAAGAGTGACAATTTTAAGCCTATCTGTAAAAGCACAAGTCAATTTAACTTTTTTACCGTTTACCAAACTATAATCTTACTTGACAGAAGAAAAACATGTGGGACCCCTTTATCAAGCCAAAACTGGGCAGTGAAGCCTATAAGCCTCTTCAAAACTCTGCTGAAGGCACTGAGGACATCGGCTTCATTACTCACGCAATAATGAAATGTAATACCAGTAGATTTGTGTTATCACAAAGTGCACCAGAGTTTCAAAAGAAATTTGGAAGAGGCTAAAACAACAGCAGTATGACTCCCATCAAAGTACATATGGGAGGTTAAAAGGTAAGCTGGTAGTCTGCCAAAGTGCCAAATTCATGGCTAGCCCACAAGATTGTCATGCATAGTCCATGAAAGTGCTTGCACCGACAATCATTCTGTCAATATACAGCTGGCAAATAAAAAAAAAAAAAGCCAGAAAAAACCTCCCCAAACCAAGAAACCTCACCAAATCCCTCTGATTCTGCAACTTTGGAAAAAGAAATCTTGTTTAACTAAATTAATATGAGAGTAGGAATACATAATGTGCTATTTAACACCTCACAGGAAAAGAAACCCCAACAACCAAAACGTACAGAGAAAAGGAAACAAATGAAAAAGTAAGAGAAAAAGAGTTGTCAGGGAAGCTTGTCTTTCCAGAGCAGCAGCCTCATTGAAAAAAATTAAAACTTTTAACTCTTAGACCCGTATTTTCCCAGAACTGTTCCAAGAAACAGCCAGCTCTCCTACTCCTCCAGAAGTAAAGTACACAGCCATATCTGGAATGTAAAACAATCTTCTGTACAGATTGTTCCATTCTGATCCATTTTGTCTTTTATTTCTTTCCTGGATTTAGTGCCAGTTGTCTACCTCTGAATCAGAACATACCAAATAATACAGTGTCAGATAGCTCAATGACAAAGGTCTATTAAATTCTTCTTTTTCTCATTTTGCATTCTCTTTGTAGCAAGTAAGAAAGTCATCTGTGTCTGACAAAACGAGTTCCTACAACCTGAGTAATTAATTACATGCAACTGCAAACAACCTAACCAGTTAAGCCAGGAGAATGCTCAGATTTCTTGAATGCAGCAATGCTACATTAAGCTGTTTCTCTCCTTTGTTTTTTTGCCAAGATACTTTGTAGAGTCACTTCAGTTGACTTGAGAAGTGATTGCATAAAATGTTGTGGGTTGGTTTTCTTTTCCTTTTTTTTTTTTTTTTTTTTTTGGGGGTGGGGGTGGCGGCAAGTTTTGTTCTGAGAAAGCTTTAAACAGAAATTTAAGCCTCGGTCTCTACTTCTGCATTCCTGCCAGCATCACAATCACCTCAGGAGCTGGAATGACTGGCAGTGTCTCAAGAAATTATCAGGATTATGAGTTATGTTTGTGCAAGTTGGAGCAGAGGAGCAGGCTGACTACAGGTAACCTATGTGAAAACTTCTGTACCCCTCACCTCTTCCTCCACATGCAAGTGCCATGAGGCACTGAGTGCCTTGGCTGCCTCCAAAGGCTCAGTGGATGAGCATTTCATAGCCCTGGGTTCCTAAAGTGCCAATCCCACCACAAGCCAGAGAGATAAGCATCTTGTGTGAGTGGCACAAGTGTCATTTAGATAACACACAGTTTTCTTGTTGAAAGTAAGGCAGTTAAACAATCAAGATGGGTTTGGACCAGTAAAATCAGAAAGTCTGCCAAACATTACTAACATAGCCTTTCAAAACAGTAAACAGC